CCCCGGGGCCAATCCACGGCCCTCCACTCAGCCGTCACTCTCCCCGGGGCCAGAACACTGCCCTCTATTCAGCTCTCACCCTCCACAAGGCGAGCCTGCCCTCCCCGAGCTGAAGGGGCTGACGGACCATTTCCTTCCTCTGCTGCTACAGTGTTTTTTCATTCACAAGGCTTACAAGATTGACGCCATCATGAAGGAAAAAGATGCTGAACTGAATGGGCTCTCTGGAAACGGTTTTAGGTTTTAAAGTCTGGCTCTAGCTTTCCAGCGTGAGAACGCAAGTACACACAATGTCAAGTTATACCCACGTTTCCTCTAAACCTACTCGGGCCGGGGCTCTGAGGACTAAGAAACACTAACAGTAATTACCTGTCTGTCCCAGAATGCTGAGTGATGGTGTCCTGTAATAATAACCAACAGATCACTGTCACTCAATTTCCCGCAATCACTTCCAATTTACACTGGGACAAGAGCTCAGTGGTTGGGGAAGGACATAACCAGAATCAGCTGCCTGTGATGGTGCGGCTGCTACCCTGCATCTCAGAGTGAGGCCCTCTAGGGAGGGGTGGGGGTGCGGGGCTGGCAGCTGCTGTCACAAAGACTTCATCAGCCAGGCCCCAGGCCCCAGCCTCTACCACAGTGTGGCGACCGTCACTGGCTGGTCCTTGGATACAGAACTGCTTGCAGCCTGTCCTATACCCTTCACTCCTCAAATCTTCTCATGGGCTCTCTGGGTCTTTGAGGCTCTGTCCCCATTCATTTAAGGAGCCTGTCAGACATGCAATTTGACACACTGACGCGTGCATGATACATACAGGTCTGATTCTGAACTACTTTTCTTGGAAAGAAAAGGAGAAGAAAAAACAGTCGTGTGAAAACTCGAGACTAAAAAATAACGTGCTACTGCGGACGGACGTCACGACAGAGCTGGGTGAGCCGGGGGTGGGTGCTGGGTTAACGTCGTCAACTGAGCCACGGCTGCACAGAACCCTGGCCCCGCATTCAGACCCAGTCCACACATACCGCCAGCGGGCTGTACTGTTACTTCGTACGTGTAGTAGCCATGGAGAAGCCTCTTTTCCTGGGTGCAAATCCTTAGAGCCTGAAAATGGAAGTCCCCTAGAACACCTATAAGAACAGATTGAGATGCATCACTGCCGCACTGCTCGTGGAAAATGTGTGGGAGACGTCCACCGATACACCGTGAACATCTCAGCATCTAAAACAGAGGGCCCAAGAGTCTAAAATCATAGTAAGACTGTTATCTCTTAAACAAGACTGAGTCCAAGAGAAGAAATTTCTGCCAAAATGTGCCTTGTGTCCACAATCTTGGTGAACATACACACATATATTAAGGTTTCTATAGATACACGCATCTCACGGTTTAAAGGCATGAACGTCAGGTTAAACAGCTTATACTGGGTAAAAGCTGTATGTTACTTCCTCATTTACATCTCATCATCCTCACTACACCATCTTTGCTCTAGAAAGAACTGCCCAAACTCACTTTGAGAAAGCCTGGCCCGGCACACACTTTTCCTGATGAAGACAAAATCTGGCAACAATTCAATCACTAAGAGACTCTTCCCCAAAACAGCTCCTGGAAGATGTCAAGCATGTTCCAGATGCCCGGCCTCTGGCGCAGAGAGGTCAGCCTACTCTGCTGTCCCCCCAGCTGACGCGCGGAGGGACCGAAACCCTCGGTGGCAGGAGATTCTTGCTCGGCCACCAACACATAGGATTTCTCCCAATCCGCCCTAGCGCCCCCGAAACAACACAGTTGAAGGTCACTAAAGGCTATAAGGAGACACACAGGTGTTCTCAGCACAGGAGAGATCACGGACTCCTCGGTATTTCCCTCACGGTGAGATTCCTACACACACAAAAGCCAATTAACAAACGATACAGATGAGATTAGACCTCGTTCATTAACGGGGAGGCTCCCTGACAATACTCTTGTTTATGCGAGCGACATCAAAGCAAGGCCTCAGAAAGACCACCTGCACCCCGGGATACCCCGTGAGCTGCCAGCATGACGTGCGTGGATGCAAACGGAGCATGCGCTCCTTCAGGTTACCCTCCCCACCTCCCCCTACAGGCTACAGCCTTAAACTCGGGCCACACCGCAGTAGCCAGTAGGAAAACTCTTCCGAACCCCCCTCTGAAATAACCTGGAGGACCAACCGTTTAGCAGGCCCATCCGCTGGCAGACATGGTGGTGAGTTACTCTCTGCGGGCCTGTGATGGGCAAGGGCAGGCTCTCTTCCCAGCTCCCTGGAGACACCAGGCTCTTGTCTCCCTCCTGAGGGCCGCAGCTGCTGCTCCACGCAGGCTCCAGGCAACAAGGGGCAGAGACCCAGCCTATGTCGTCCGTCCACCCCCCCCAACCCCCGCGAGCTGAGGCAGAAGTGGCTGGGGCCACGCTGTGGGGAGCTCCAGCCTCCCACATGCCCGGGTGCCCGGGGTGGCTCCGGAGCGCCCACTGCCCACCCCGCCTGCACCAGCGACACACGGGAAAACCCGGCATCAGACTCGGTGCTGAGCGGCACAGCTGAAACAAAGTCCATCCTGCGGCGCCGTCCCCTTCAGCAAAAAGCCCTCCAGGAAGGAGGACCCGCACCGCCTCACCCTAGGGGCGTCCTTCCCACTCACGGGCTTCGAGCTACACAGTCACAGGCACACACACCAGGGTGGACAGATCCACGGGCTTCTGAACAAGATCTGTCTCCACACAGAACTCAGGGCAGATTCAGGAAGAAGCAAGTCCCCAACAGCAGAAAGCAGCTCTAAGCCCCCCACGCCCGCATCCCTGCTGCGTGTGAACGAGGGGAAAGGAAGGTAATCGGGCTCTAGAGCTGAAGAAAAGGAGTCTGAAAACCTTTATCGCTTCCACGTGCACGTACTGGTTCAGGAACACCTTCCAGGGAGGAGAGAGAGGGTTCTGGAGCCCGCTGCTGCGTCACAGACACACCCACCCAACAGTGAACTTACCGAAGAAGTCGAATGAAAACGGGTCCCGTCCACCAAAAAATTCCCTGAAGACCTCATCCGGGTTACGGAATGTGAAGCCAAACTCAAACGGATTGTCGAAGTGAACTCCACCTGCGATGGCACACGGCATTCGATGAGAAGGCGAGAAGGCACAGCTCTGTCTCCAGACGGCCCTCAATCATGACCCAAAAGGGAAAAGGCAAAGGCTCCTCTGCCTGGGGCCCCGCTTCGCGGCAAGAGCCGTGCCTGAAGGGAGACCACCCGGGGCTGGCGGGGACAGGCCCTCGGAGGCTCCGTGGCCCTCGCGGTCGCTTCCCCATGTCTGCAACTGCCACCCGTACAGAGGAAATGTGGCTTCATCTTCTGTGTGGGCCGTTGTGCAAAACACGCACACAAGCACAATTGTTCACGCTCGCCAAGGGAGGCACGTGCTCTGCGGCAGCACTGTTCTCCAAGTGGCTGCCCACAGTGATGCTGACGGCGGGCAGGTCACTGCTGGGACCTCTTCTCTCTCTCTCTCTCTCTCTCTCACACACACACACACACACACACACACACACACACACACACACACCCGTGGGACCTCTCCTGTCACACACACACACACCCTGGGGGACCTCTCGTGTGTGACCCCCCCCCACACACACACACACCGTGAGGCCTCCCCGACACCGGCAGGAAGTCTAGAAGTACAGCAGCTGCGTCAGGTACGAGCTGTTAAACTCTCTGACAAAATGCCGGGTACTGATGTGGGCCTGAGAACCCACGAACTGCTACAGCAGGCCACGCGGGCTCCGGACCCACAGAGAGCACTGTCCCCAACACACCCTCTGTAGCGGGGCGTGCGGGCTTCCACGCAGTCCGTCTCCACAAGCCGGCCCGCCTTCCAGGCCGTTTGTGTTTACGGAAACACAGCTCGTCCCCAAAAGACCCTTTGTTGTCAGACGGCCTCCTCTGCTCACTGAGAAGCAAGAGGAGAATGAGAATCAACGTTTCCGTACCTCCGCCTCCACCGTTCAGTCCTTCCTTGCCGTATCTGTCATAGACGTCTCGTTTTTTAGCTACGAATCAGAAAGGAGAGAGTTCAGACGAAGCCTTTATAAAGTCGTAAACTGAGGAACCAGTGACTTCTCAAGGTTTCACTATTAGTTTTAAGGAGTTAGGCCTCCATTACTTTAAATAACGGGGGGAAGAGGGAAAATCTAAGTACAAAAACTTAGTAGTATGAAGTTTAAAAAGTGGTATTTTCTCACACCACCGTGCACAGAGCGAGTGCTCACGCGTCCATGAGCAGCACACCCCCAGTTCTAAAATCATTCCGACTCTGCGAGTGCACCTTCCCCCGGCCAAGTCCAGCTGGGAGGCCCGATCCGTGGCACAGAAAGACATAGGTCAGGGCCTTGTGGGGTCAGGAAACAGAGGCAGCAGCGGCAGAGAGAGGGCCGGCCCTAATTCATGCCCTCGAAAGGGCAACAGCCCAAGCTTGATGGTGTCCCACTGTCCTGTCCCCTCTACTTACCTTCTAGAATAAACAACTACACCGCAGCCCTGTTTAAACAGGCAGTTCCTTTTGATACACTATGTTTTCTACCCAAAATATCATGCTCTACCAAAACTGTGTGGTAAAGTAACAGGCGTTATGGGGGCATCTGGGTGGCTCAGTCAGTTAAACATCCAGCTTCAGCTCTGGCCACAATATTGTGGTTTTTGATTTCAAGCTTCTCACCGGGTGAGCTGAGCCCCACTCCAGGAGCCACACTCTCTTCCTCTCTCTGCCTCTCACTCACTGTGCGCACACCCTCTCCCCCTCTCAAATAAATAAAACTAAAAAGAAAAAACTGGGTTATGGGGAAAACAAGTGTACAAGCAACCACTTAAAGCCAGTTGATGGTCACCAAGTTCTAAGAAGAATGGGACCGAGGGGCACCCGGGTGGCTTAGTGGAGCATCCGACTCTTGGAGTCAGGCTGTGACTGCAGGGTCGTGGGATCAAGCCTCTCTATCTCTGGGGTTTTCTCTCTCCCCCCCGTCTGCTCATGCAGGCGCGCTCGCTCTCTCTCTCTCTCTCTCTCTCAAAATAAATAAAAATAAACACGGGGGCGGAGGGGAAGAATGGGAACTATGCATGCAAAGGCTGGAGACTGCATACGAGAACATGAAGAATATACTCCCCCTCAAAAGAGGGGGAGAGGGGAAGAAACAGATGTCAAGGTTGGGTTCAGTTTAAAACCAAAATCAGTTGGCTGAAATTAGGCAGCGGAGTCCAGTCACGGTTCTTCTGAAGCCCCGAGTGTGGGAGCACGCGCCAGGGGCACCGTGGCTGCCCGACAAGGGCACTGGCTCCACAGCCCGGGGCCCGTCCGGTTCAGAGAGCCAACCATCCGCTTAGGACCTTGAACGCCACATTTAAAAACAACTGCAATGATCACTGTTTACGGCTTCTGGTAACAAGTTACTCATGAAATAAAACATCTAGGACTTCCTTAAAAATAAGAGCTTTTAAGGACACAGGGGATCTGACTTTCAGAAGCCCCCGCTCCTCAGTACCCTGCCCAAGCCCCGGGGCGGGAAAGGCAGCTGGAGGCGTAGTTCCTCATCTCCTGACACGAAGAGTCCTTCCAAGCGGTGTCACCGGCGCGCGACCGCACCAGCCAGGTGCTTTCCAGGAGAACAACGGAGACGAGCGACGCTGCGCCACCAAAGGAGAGTGGCCAGGGCCGCCAGCAGCGATGACCCAGATGGATTCCTACGCCCTAGTCTGTCCTGTCAGCCCTCAGACCAGAGTGTCAGTACTGTTTAAAATAGCCACCCTGAGAGAAGCTGCCAGAAGCTCCACAGCACGCATGGGTAACAGGATCGAGTGTCCGCCAGGAGCAGGAGTCAAAGCTTCACAAGAAAAGGAAGACACGCCTGTCCTTGGACCCCACACCTCGGCGGGCCACACTCACACCCCGCCAGCCCCCGGCAGAGCCCGAACCCTGGCAGGTTAGCTCACCGTCCGATAACACCTCATACGCCTCGGCCACCTGTTTGAATTTTCTCTCTGCTTCTTCTTTATTCTCGGGGTTTTTATCTGGATGCCACTTGAGTGCCAGTTTCCGGTACCTTGGGAAGATTAAAAGGGCACTGGTCACATTCATGAGCAAAACCCCAAAGGCTGTGAAACGTATGTAACGTGGAAACTGGCTTCAGAGCCATAAACCCGCGAGACTACTATCAATCTCAGTGGGAAGCCCTTCCTGCCCCAAGAATGAAGCACACAAGCTCTCACTCCAGACCGCGGTGACGCGAACCGACCTCCGGAGCTACGTGGATGCTAAGATGTCTGAAGACCAACATGTGCAGTGTGAACACTGGTCCTGCTGCCGAGACAGCACAGAACAGAGGAAGAGGCGGCCTTGTCCCCCGGACAGGAGGAGCCGCCCGCTGGGCACGTCGGTACGGCAGATGCCAGCCCCGCTCACAGAGCCACCCCATTCTGGATTCAAGATTCCCTGAAGGTTCCATTTAACAGTAATAATTACATGCTTTTCAAACACAAGGAAAAAACATTCTCTCTTCTACTTGAACATAAGCACCACATATTGGGGGGAGGGGCTCCTCAAAATCTAAAACCAGACTAAGGACCAGAGAGTCCTAGCACTTGGCAAGCTGTTAACATAAGACTGCTCTGGTTCAATTTAATTGCAGCATTTTAATCAAAAATCTTGGCTTGAACTTAACTAAAATGTGGTTAACGCTGGGCTCCAGAACACTCAAAGTGTGCTTTATTCCTCTCTCGCTGCGGCCCTGAACATGTAGCAGCAGACCCAAAGCCCTGGAGCACTACACGCCTCGGAACAAAGTGACAGACCATGTAAAGGGCGGAGGAGAAAGCCGGTCACTTTGCACTAGGCGTGCTCGTGAGAACACAGACGTGTGAAGACACTCCAGGGTGTTTCGTGTGTGTGTTCTGAAAGAGTACTCTCCATTTCTTTAGATTCAAGGCCTAATACACAAAGTGTAAAGACTATCAAATGTTGGCCTTGAGACTGAAGTCTGGCTCCACATGGGTAAGCGAGTGCCGTGGAAGGAGGAGGCCATCATGGTGGGGGTGGGGGGACACGACACAGCCTGTGACACAAACACAGGTCAGACTGCAGGTTTCCCAGGAGAAATGGGGAGGGAGGGGACAGCCATGTACGGTCACGCTCAAACAAAACTGTCTCTGGCCACTGGACAAGATCAAAGCCTGGAGTCCCCAAAATGGACCAAGAACACGCCCCAGCCAAGGCCGTAGTCTTGCTCATCAAAAATAAGTAAGGCTACATCCAGTCTAGGTCAGGATCCAACTTCACACTTAATGGGAAAATCTTCTTCCACTGAATGCTAGCATGCTCTAAGTTCATGCTCAAAGCTACCCCAAGACACTCACTCGTCAGCCCTGCTCTCGGAAGCATCTACCCCAGTCCGCTCTCTACTGTGTCTGTGGCTCAAACAGCGCAGGCATGGCTTCCATCGGACGGTGGCCACACTGCTCATAGACTGCACTTACCCGGGAAGGGGGCAGTTCACTGGCTGCCGCTGTCTGAGCTGGGAGCGGATGGGCGGAGCCCCGTGGGTGACACAGCTCAGTGGCACTTCCTGGGCCCTCCTACTCAAGTTTCTTGGCTGCCGTCTGACCTGGGGGAGGCCCATCATAGGAGCCAAGCGGCTAAGCTTAGCTTTTTTACGTGAGCGATTTTATTCAAACACCAGTGAATTTCCATGCGCAGACCTGCTAAGTCTAGCAGTGTAGACTGTGTATGAATAAAATCGCTGGTTCCAGTAACAAACTGAAACAGTTCCAGGCTCAGTTTGTAGTCTCTCTAGCTGTGCTAAAATCTAATTTTTTTGCGACACATTAAGGTCAAATGAATGAAAAAGGCCCAGTTCACCTTGAGTGCCACCCGTGGCCTCCACCTTGCCCCTGCCACAGGCCAGCCCTGGTCACGAAGGCCTAGGAAGGCCAGCAGGGGTGCGCCAATCACCTGGCTCTAACGGCACAGGCTGGGGTTGGCAAAAGGGATGGTGCACAGCTACTACCCTGAGGAGGTCACTGCACCGCACTCTCTGAGTGCCAAGTGCCAAGTCAACTCCATTCCAAAGTCAATGTCAAAACGGTCTGGGGTTATTTCGCATCCTAAGTAAGTGTCTAATCTACTTTAAGCAGCAACAGAATCCACTGTCCCAAGGCAAAGTAACAGAGGAAACCAAGTGACCTTCTCATCCCTCAATGCCAAGTGACATGCTGGGCCTAGTCTGATAAAGCAATAGTTAGTTTAACTGCGCTGTCTGAAGGTAAAATTAAAGAGTGGCATTCAACAACTGTCATACCCGGGAAACGTCATCTCAGGAGACAAACAGTTACCCTGCCCGAGGACCTGTGCGCAGATTCATTACCACATAAATACAGTTACTTACGCCTTTTTAATATCCTCGGCCGAGGCGTGCCTCTGCACGCCTAGAACTTCATAGTAATCCACCATGTTTTAACAGGCTGTTGGAGCGAGTCCTGCAATTAGAAACCCATGGTCAATGACATGACTGCCACGGTTGGGCAGCTCACCTTACCTGAGCACTAACCACTAGCCTGGCGGGCGGGGCCCTCATCTGGGAGCAGATCCCAAGATCCATGCCCTAGACCCTTCTCAACATCAAATAAAAGCTCTGAAATAACCTAATAATAGCCTAAACTAAAAAAAACCAGCCGGTGACTGTGAGGCAGACGCCCAGTGCCCACCTGACCGGCAGCTGGCAGCCCCTGGTGAGCATCCTGCTCTCCTGATGGCCCGCTCCGGGACCTTCGGTGACTCGGTGCGGGCCTGTGCCAGGCGTTGGGCAAGACCGCACAGCCCCCAGGACGGACACGCTGTCCCCGCCCGGTGCACAGTGGGAACCACAGGGAGACACCTCCTACAGTCTGTAGCTGTCCCCGGGGCCGAGCTAAGGCAGGCACAAATCCCCGCTCAAAGTCGCTGGGAAAGGAAAATAAAAGGTCCCTGACGACAGAGCTACTACTGCTACCTTGACCCTCAGGCATCAAACTCCCACCCAGGTCTCCCCACAGACCAAGCCTTCAGTGGGAAACTAGCAGCAGAAATGTGCTTCGGTGATTTTTGTCACTTCACAGGGCAGCACAGTGAGAATCCATTCTGCTTCTACCATCGCTAACAAAGCTTGGCCTCAGGTGCCACAGACCAACTACACGCATTCTGCCTCTTTCAGATGTGAAATCTGGGGCGCCGGCTGCCGCTCAGGTCACAACCTCCCAATTCGTGGGTTCGAGCCCTGTGTCAGGCCTTGTACTCCTCTCTCTCTGTTCCTCCCTGCTTGTGCTCTGCCTCTCTCTCAAAAATAAACATTAAAAACGTTAAGATGGGCAATCTTAAGGATTTACTTCTTTTACTCTGATTGGCTAAGAGCACTGCAGGCCTATCCCTGGGCGGTACACAGGAACTTGGCCCAGTCCGGCAAGGCCCTGGGTCAGGCTACCCCACCCACAGCAGGAGCTGGGCTTTCTGTGCATCCCCACCCCTCCCCCCCCCCCCCCCCCCCCCCCCCCCCCCCCCCAGCAACCCTACCATCAGACTTCAGAGAGACACATTGTGACCGTAAGCGAGTGGGCCGCCACAGCCGTGAGGCCACAGCGTGGAGGCACGATGGCGGCCAGGCTGAACGATGCCCCACCGAGAAATTCCTCCACTGCTCAAAACAAGACGCCTGCACAGCTGTTTCCACAGGGGAGCAGCCGTGGTGGGGCACGTCTAGGGTTACCCCGTGACTCAGCGCGCCCCGCGCACGCCAAGCCGCTCACAAAGCAGCTCTATGTATAAAGGTCGGGAGGAAGCACACAAGAACTCCTTTTTGCCAGTCCAGGAGCTCAACACAGAAAATAGCTCAGCAACACCACAGGACGCGGCGCCTGGGTAGCTGAGTTCACCATTTGGGAGTTCGAGCCTTTCAAAGGGCTCTGTGCTGACAGTGCAGAGCCTGCTTGGGATTCTCTCCCCCTCTCTCTGCCCCTCCCCTGCTCTCGCTCTCTCTCAAAATAAATATACTTAAAAACACTTTTTAAAAATACCACAGGATGACTGAAATAGACCCCCCTACCTATCACCTTGAAATTCCTAGAAATGTTAGATAAGTCCAGCAAAGGCATCTGAAGAAGGCTGAGCTCCCAGGAAGAGGCTCAAGTGCCAAAAACACGCAGGGAGCTCATACCACAAGTGGTGGTCTGGGGATGGGGGTGGGGGGAGGCCTATTTTCAGGATGGGTCTTGCTTCTGAGGCACAGGAAGCCAGTGGAAGCACCGAAGGACACCCCCCACCACCACTGTGGCTCTCAAGGCTGTAATCAGGACAAAGCAGGGAAGAGCAGCTCTCCAACGGACTGCAGACAGGAGGGAAGCCCCCCAGCACTGGGAGTCCTGGGGGCCCAGTCAGGGGTGCAGAACGGAACCCCATTACCCTCCTTATCCTGCTTGCTCCACGCTCTTCAAAATTACCCAATGTCACCCAGGAGGGTGCAGCAAATAAAGGCTCCCTGCAGAAAAAGTATCTCTACAACCTAAGTCACAAAGATCCCCGCAGAAAACATAACCCCGCTGAACAGGGGCTGACAAATTCTAAATACAGGAAAGCACAGGAGGAGTGGGACAGGACACCACCAAGAAGCTGAAATAAGGGGGCTCCTTGGCATCTCAGGCCATCATCTCACAGTTTATGAGTTCGAGCCCCCCATCTGGCTCACTGCTCTCAATACAGCCCGCTTCAGATCCTCCATCACTGCACACCACCACCCCCCCCCCACCGGCACCTCTTCAGCTTATACTTCGTCTCAAAAATAAACATTTAAAAAAATTTTTTAAAGTAAGTCTAAAATAAGAACTTGAAAAGGAACATATAAAAAAAGGATTCATGAAATAATCACAATAATGAACAAGGGATGGGGAGCAATCTGCTCTGGGAAATGATTAAGTTATTACCAAAGCCATAGAAATTTAAAAGCAGATTAAAGAAAGATCAAGGGGGAGCACCTGGGTGGCTCAGTTGATTAAACACCTGACTTCAGCTCAGGTCATGATCTCATGGTTCGTGGGTTCGAGCCTCGCATCAGGCTCTGTGCTGACAGCTCGGAGCCTGGAGCCTGCTTTCGATTCTGTGTCTCCCTCTCTCTGCCCCTCCCCAGCTCGTGCTGTCTCTCTCTCTCTCTCTCTCTCTCTCTCTCTCAAAAATAAACATTAAAAAAAAGAGCTCAAGCGTCCATGGTGTGGAAGTCAGACCTGAGGAAACTTACCAAAAGTACAGATAGGGAAAGGGAGTGAGAAGGTAACACACGCGCGTGCACGTGCGCGTCCACAGGCCGAGACGAGAGGACACAGGAGGTGCTGGCCCCGGGCCCCAGCCCCAGCACGGAGAACACCCCAGCCCGGCCAGCTCGCTCTCTGCAGCGCGCCCTAAGTGTGGCCAAACTGCTATTTAGGGTGCACAGCAGGGCACTCTGAGACGCGCAGACACTGGACAGGACGTCCATCAAGCGAACGTGCACACCCACCCCCCTGCAGGGCACCGCACCTTCTGAGGGGACAGCACTAGCTAACGCTCAGCCAACTGCCAGCACCGGGCACATTACTGCTAACCAGTCACTGCGCCGCACAGAACTTCCTCGAACGTGCAGGTCTGAACCCCCGGGCAGCCACAGCACCCCGCTCCCCCTCCCCAAGCCCAGTGACCACGCCCGCACGGTCTCCACTGGGCTTGGCTTCCTCAGGCCCCACACTGAAGGCCAGGTGGTGTTTCTGTCTGGCTTCGCTCACAAAGCAGAGCGCCCTCCAGGCAGGGTCACCGTGTGGCCACACACTAAGGCTCCCGGTCCATTCAGCAGCCACCACGCAGGCCCCACTGTTACCTGGGGGGTGCGCAGAGCCGCACGAGTCACCTGGGGGCAGGCACTGGGTGGAAACGGCCGAGGAAGTCACCCAGAAGACCACCCACCACCCAGGAGGGGACCCGCTGCATGTGGCCTACAAGAGCCGAGCTCGCAGGAGCAGAGAAGGATGGCGGTCACCAGGGTCAGGGGTCGAGGCACAGGTAGACCCGGGGACGTGCTGCTCCAGAGGCAGAGACCTGCAGTCACAAAGGATTACATTCGGGAACAGGGCTCAGTCACCACACCATGTTCTGACCTCAGAGCTGCCAGAAAGACAGAGGTCACAAGTGTGCTTGCCGAAGAAAAGGTGACTACGATGTGACAAAATGCTAGCTAACACAGGAGTGACCCTACTGCCATACAGAAGCTCAGCTGCTTGAGCGCCCAACTCCTGATTTCCACTCAGGTCATGGTCTTGTGGTTTATGAGTTCAAGCCCTGCACTGGGCACTCTGTCAGCACAGATACCGCTTGAGATTCGCGTTCTTCCCCATTCTCTGAGCCCCTCCTATGCTCGCTTGCTCTTTTCCCAAAAATAATAAAAATTTAAAAATTAAAAAACCTTTCCCCTTTTAAGAAATGTGTTTTTATAGCTGTTAAAAAAATCATTTACGTTTTGTTTTCATAAATAAATTTTTTTCAAGTGAACACTACCCCCAACATAGGGCTCAAACTCCTACCCCCAGATCAAGAGGTGCCTGCTCCACCGACTGAGCCAGCCAGACACTCAGAATCACGTTGTCATCATCGTCGTTGTCATGCTGTTGAAGCAGACTTCATGCCCAGCACAGAGCCCAACGCAGGGCTTGAACTCATGACCCTGAGATTAAGACTTGAGCTGAGATCAAGAGTTGAGTGCTTAACCCACTGAGCCACCCAGGCGTCCCTAAAAACATTTTTTAAAAAGACACATCCACAGTCCTATCGTTAACCAGACAGAAGGTTAAGCTTTTAAAATCCGGGCATTTATCAAACTCCTTGTAGTTAACATAAACTAGACCCCAGGAGCTAACAATTAGAAAACCCATGTTCTGGGGGCGCCTGGCTGGCTCAGTTGCTGGAGTATGCAAGTCTTGATCTCAGGGTCCTGTCTAGTGTAGCTATTCCTTGGAAGTAAAATCTATATTAAAAAAAAAAAATCCATGCTCACCTAACGTGCCCTTGGGCAAACAAAGCTTAATTTAAGCTTTGAAATGCTTACATAAACAATGGAACAAAAATGGGAAACAGTATCACAAAACTAAACACAGAAAGGAACAACTGTGAGAACAAAACTCTTGTGTTAAGAAATCCCTTGGGTCAGGGCACCTGGGCGGCTCATTTAGGCATCTGACTTCAGCTCAGGTCATGATCTCACAGTTTGTGGGTTCGAGCCCCGCATCGGGCTCTGCTGACAGCTCAGAACACGGAATCTGCTTCAGATTCTGTGTCTCCTTCTTTCTCTGCTCCTCCCCCAGCTCTCTCCCTCTCAAAATAAACATTTTTTTTAAAAAAAGCCTTTGGGTCAAAGGAAACTAGAAATATTAGGTTAAGTATCATTATCAATTTGATCATGTGATGAGAGAAATATTTAGAAAGGACGGTA